AAAAGAGAGAAGAAGCTTGTGAGCCTCTTACACTCTATAAAAACATTTCAGTCTCTGGAAGGCAACAAAAAGGACAGGTGTTAAGAACAGCAGGGTTAAGAACAGAAAGAAAAGCATTGGAGGCAATAGCACCATGTAAAATCCTCCACTGGAGGTCGGCAGTCCGTTTTTTGAGGGGAGGTTTATATAAAATCCTCCACTGTGGGCCGGCTCCATTTGCTCCCAGCCTGTTTGACCACACAGTGGGGGGGCGGTTGCACAGTCCGGCCTTGTGGATCGCCTTCACACAGTTCATGTACCAGGTTTTTTTTGTCAGCTTTGTTTATTGTCAGCTTTCTGGGTGTGCTATAGCCAGCAGGGGGCCGGTGAGCTCCCAGGCCTGGGCTCAGGAAGACGTCAGGGAAGGGGTCTGCAGGGTCCGGTCTGGCCTTTCTTTTACCATAGTCCATGAGGAGGCTCCTCTCTTTCCCCGAAAGCTTTCTGGCGCCACAGCTCCAGGAGCCTCCCCGCACCCGGACAGAGTGCAGGCCCAGAAGAGAGCCCAGGGCCCGGGCATCACGCAGCGCCGGCCCCACTGCATCCACCAGCTGCTGCAGGCACAGGGTCTTGGTTTTGAGCAGCGCCACTCAGGCCGGGGGTGACGCTGCTGCTGATGTCCAGCTTGGCCCTGTGAATCAATGGCTCTCTCAACAACCAGTACAGAGAGTCAGACTTTGGGCACCTTTTACAGTTAAAAAGGGCCCAAGACTTAAAAACACCCTGATAAAACGGAGGCAGCCCACTTCATTTTAAAAGTTTAGAATCAATTAAAAACAGAGCCGCATCCAGCCCCAGGAAATCTGCACGTCTGAGAATGCAGCTGGCCACATCTCTCCACACTAGATCAGCCGGACCTGTCAGATATTTTTGTAAGAACTGTAGTCTGAAGGTGGCTGTCCGGCTGGCCAGGTGGACGAGGCCCTGTCCCCCCCTCCTCTCTGGTTTAAAAACAGCACCCCTTGTGGCACCCAGTGTAGACCATCCCAAAAAAAGTCGACCATTTTCTTTTGTAGCTGGGCTAGCAAGCCTGAAGGGGGGTCTACACAGGTTAAGCGGTGCCACAGTTGGGATGCTACAAGGTTGTTTAAAACCAATACTCTACCTTTAAAAGACATTTGAGGGAGCAGCCATTTCCACTTGGAAAGTTTCCCCTCAATTTTTTCTGTGACAGTCTCCCAGTTCCTCTGGACTGTCTGTTCTTTCCCGAGGAAAACCCCCAGGTACCTAAAGCCATCTGTTCTCCAGGCCAAGCTCTGGGGAAGAACTGGGAGACCGTCACGCCACTCACCGACAGCGAGGGCTTCACTTTTTATCCAATTCACCCTCGCTGCCGATGTTACGCTAAAACGTTTTATAATGTTGGTTAAAATATCTGCATCCCTCTGGTCTTTAATAAAAACAACAATGTCATCGGCGTAAGCACTTAAAACAATGTTGCTATTAAAACCAGGTAAAACCAAGCCCTGTAAGTGGTAGCGTATATTGTTAAGGAGGGGGTTCCAGGGAGAGTGTGTAAAGCATGCCGGACAGAGCACAGCCCTGCCTGACGCCTCTACACACCCTGAAAGGAGCACACAGGCCGCCGTTAAACTTCAGCACACTCTCAACCCCACTGTACAACACTTTGATCTTGGCTATGAACCCAGCGCTGAACCCAAACTTCTCCATAACTTTCCAGAGGAAGTTGTGTTCAACGCGGTCAAATGCCTTTTCCTGGTCTAGAGAAATCAGACCAGTGTTACAGCCGATGAGCTGGAGACGTCCAAAACATCACGAATGAGGTGGACATTGTCCACCATGGACCTGCCGGGCACACAGTAGGTCTGGTCCCGGTGGATGACCTGCTCCATAGCCTTCCCAGCCTGGAGGCAAAGAGTTTGGACAGAAGCTTGTAATCCACACACAGCAAAGACACAGGGCGCCAGTTTTTGATGTCCTGCAGGTTACCTTTTTTCGGGAGCAAGGTGATTACGGCTCTCCTGCAGGACATGGGCATTGAGCCAGAGGCCAGACTTTCATTAAAAACATCTAAAAGATCTTTGCAAAGATGTCCCAGAAGGCTTTGTAAAATTCCACACTCAGGCCGTCTATGCCGGGAGCCCGCCGCCCTTGCATGCCCTGCAGAGCGGCCTTCAGTTCCTGCATCTGTAACGGCCCGTTGAGCTGTGTGTTGGTCTCCTCAGAGACCTGAGGCAGTCCATTACAGAACTCCTCCATCAGAGCTTCCTCCTCCTCATACTCACTTGAGTAGAGTGCGAGTAAAAACTCACAGCTCGCCTTCTTATCTGGCATGGCTCTGTCAATGTTTGCCCTGTGTCTGCTAAAAGTGAGTGGATTACCCTCCTCTGCCCACTCCTCTTCTCCAGGCCGAAGAAGAAACTAGAGGAAGCATCCATCTCCGTGATGGCTTGAAACCGGGACCTGACCAGTGCACCCTGTACTTTAACATCCAACAGGTCGGCTAAAGCTAGCTTTTTGACTTTGAGGATTTCAATATATCCTCGATTTGCTGTGGACTCGCTCAATCTTTCTAGTTCCACTATATCAGTCTCCAGGTCTTTCATAGATCTGGTGATGTCTCTGGTGACATTGAGGTGTGCTGTTGACATAAAAGTTTAATCTCAGTCTTACCATGGTCCCACCACTGCCTAAGACTGTTAAACTCACCCTTCCTCTGTCTAAAAACATCCCAGAAATAAATAAGAACCTCTTTAAAATGTTTATCAAATGTTAAGACTGAATTAAAATGCCAATAAGCACTTTTAGGTAAAATATTTTGAATAAAAACATTACACAAGAGTAAAGAATGGTCAGTAAAACCAGCAGGAACAATACTGCACATTTTAAAAATATTAAAATGATGCTTAAAACAATAAATACGGTCGAGTCTAGCTGAGGAGATCCTACTCTCTCTGAGGTGGGACCATGTGTACTGTCGGCAGTCTGCATGCATCCTTCTCCACACGTCCACCAGGCCATGAGAATAGACCAGCTGCCTCAGAACATGTTGGGAAACTGGATGCGGCTCTGCATGGTTGCGATCTAAAGATGCATTTTCTGTACAGTTAAAATCCCCACCCAAGAATAAAAAATCCTCCGAGGCACAGCCATTTAAAACCTGGTTAACTTTTTGTAAAAACAGCTTCCTCTCTGCACCGATTGTTGGAGCATACACATTGATAAAAACTGCAGTAAAAAGGTCGAACCGTGCTTTAATTAAAAGCAACCTCCCCTCGATAAAATGCTCGACCTCCAGTGAAACCGGAGTGAAAGACTTGGAGAGGAGAAAGCCAACTCCTCCTCCCACTCTCTCCTCCAGTCTGCCTCATTGGTGCTATCACTATGTGTCTCCTGGAAATAAAAAACATCAATATGTTTCATTTTGGCCGTTTCATATATAGCTGCTCTTTTTTTTGACTCTCTGGCTCCATTTATATTCAAACTTCCCACTCTAAAATTATCCATAAGTGAGAAATTAAGAACAAAAATCAATAAATTAATTAAAACACACATTGGAGCTCTTCCCGTCATCATTGTTCAGTTGTTTTCTAACTTTAGACACAAGTTTTTTTAATCTAAAAAACTCCTTGTTAGTGATGCCAGACTCCTCCTTTTGGCTCATGTGGAGTCTGGCCGAGGTATAAAACAAACTTAAAACTGGGAAATGCTCTTCAACTTTAACACCTTTAGCATTTTTGGTTTTTGCTAAAAACGACTTAATCATTTCTGCAGAGTAAAGTTTTTTCTGTTGACTGTTACTTATTTTAAATCCAGATATATCACTGCTATCAGAGACACAGTCATCACTTTCACTTTCCTCTGTCTGTCCCTGTCCCCCTACTGTCTGTCTGTCCTCCTCCTCCTCCACTTTGCTATTCTTTGCCTCATACTTTGTGCCTCTAGTTTTCCTTCTGCGTTTAGAAGCAGATTTGGATTCTTTTTCCAGCTGTTTCTTCCCCCTTTTCTTCACCCACCTCACTTTCCACCACATCACCCAAAACCTCTCCTTCACTTCCCTGATTGTTTTCACCCACACCGTGCACATCATTCATACTCACCACCCCGTGCTCCAGGTCAGACACAGCAGCGGCGAGGCGCGGCGTGCTCCGCGGTGCCGCTATCGGCCGCTCAGATGCCGCGGTCCGGGCCGCAGCGGATGAAGTCTCACACACTAACAATTAACTTAAAGTGAAACTACAACCAATAAACTACATTAAATTAAATCAAATTACTAAAGAAAAAAAACGAGAGAGAGAGAGACAGAGAGAGAGAGAGAGAGAGAGAGAGAGAGAGAGAGAGAGAGAGAGAGAGAGAGAGAGAGAGAGAGAGAGAGAGAGAGAGAGAGAGTCTCAGTGAGCAGGAAGTCTTTTAACTATTGTTTATTAAAAACATAAATGAAGATTTTGTTTTTCATCCACAGATCTTACCTGTTGCTCACACGAAGGTGGAAGATAACGAGGTAACGCACAACACAGCATGATGTCATCATCTCTAAAAACTGCAACATCGTGTGTGTGTGTGTGTGCAGGAGTTTTTCCTTACGTGTGTGTGTGTGTGTGTGTGTGTGTGTGTGTGTGTGTGTGTTGCAGGAGTTGCGGCAGAGCGTGCAGCTTCTGTTGTCCACAAAGATTGCCGTTTATTTGATGACGTTCATGATAGTGACGGTAGCGTGGGCGGCTCACATCAGGTCTGTTGTTTTATATTTAATATTATAATGAACAGAACACACCCACACACACACACACACACACACACGTTCTGTAAGTTATTGTTTCTCTTTGTTTGTGCTGATCATCAGATTGTTTCAAGTGATTGTTCGTATCGATGACTGCCTCGCGCTGCTGAACCTCGTGAGTAAACGAACGCCTCCTCCTTCGTCTCCTTATGTCCTCCTATGACCACCTATTCCTTCCCTTCCTTTCCTCTCTTCTTCTGTTTTTTTTCCTCCTCGTATGTCCTCTTACCCTCCTCCATCTTTTAAAGAATCAGTATTCAACTCTGACCCCTAGTGTTTCAAATGGGTACTGCAGTCCAAAATCAAAACATAGTAGAGAGCTGTCTCCTGTTTATATTTTTCTGATGTGGCGTTCTGGTGGTTAACTTTCAGGCGTGCATGATGCTGATCACCTTCCTGCCGTACACGGTGAGTTTGAGTCTCTGCAGAGAAGTTAAATAAATAATCCTGTTTGTACGTTTTGTTTACTTACCTCTTCTTCTTCTTCTCTCTCGTTTATGAAGTTTTCTTTGATGGCGACTTTCCCGGACAACGTTCTGGGGATTTTACTCTTCTGTGGCTGCGTGATGGTGATGGGCGTCATTCAGGTGAGACAGCGCTCCTCTCTTTATCACCCTCCTTTAAAACATTAGTGAATCAAACTTTATTTACACAGAACCTTACAGACGAAGGGAACTCCAGTTCTTATATTGAAACATCCCTTAATCTAAACTTTTTCCTCTTTTAATGTAAAATCCTGCAGTTCCTGGAGTATCCACTAGAGGCTGGCTGCAGAAGCACAGGAAGTCACATACACACCCATTCTAAAAAGCCTGTTTTTACAGCAGAGATGAACATGTTTACAGCCTGGTTCAAAAAACCAAATAGGTGTGATTAGCTCATGTCTGGATGGACACACACTGTACGGGGGGTGAATGTTTTGATGACTCATCAGTTTTGATTTGATGAAGGATAAGAGTTATTCACAATAAGGCGTGTAGCTGACCTGATTGACAGGTGGGCGCGGTGTAACGGTTTGTCAGGAGGTTTAAAACCCGCCTCAGCTCCAGCTCTCAGCCTGTCGTTAGGTTGACTGAAAGTTAGACTGAGACAGCATTTCCAGCATGGAGACCGCCATCGATGGGACTCCAGCGCCCCCTGCAGGGACAGACGGGGGACGTCACTCAGGCTTCAAACATTCTGTGGTAAAAGGTAAAAGGTGAACATAGTAGGCAAGGTAAAAGGTGAACATAGTGCACATGATAATCCTTCCCTGGATTCATAAACTGCATCGTGTCGTTCTTTATTCCGTACAGTGTCTCATCGTGTTGTACGCCTTCAGCCGGCCCTTCCTGCTGAACGAGCAGATCCAGATCTCCGAGAACCAAACCTTCTACAAAGAGCACATCCTCAAAGTCATCATGAGGGTTCCTCTCATGTGCTTCATCGCCAGCATCTTCTCCTTCATCTTCTTCCAGCTGGTACGTCCAATAAACGCCTTCACCACGATACGACACACACATTTTTACAGTCATAGAAAAAGCAAAATGTCCTGGAAAATTATTGAAACATTCTCTAAATTTTCCCCTTATTCCTCAAAATTAGACCTCGACCGATTAATCTGCCAGTCGATAATATCGGCCTATATTAGCTATCGGTATCGGCAGATTTGATCACAACTATGCGCCGATATTACTCGATTTAGTCGCCGGTCAAACAGCATTTAATTTCATTGTATTACTGTAGCAGTTCTCTGTCTCCAGCAGAGGGCGCTATATGGATTACAACGAGCATCATCACTCTGTAGAGTGTCGAGCGCTGATGCACGTTCATGCTCAGTGATTTTCCAGCTGAGTGACCATCTTCTCCTCATTATAAATCTTTTCCACACGTGTTTTATAACTGAGGGATCAACACAATAAATGTGTTTATCTATATCTACAGATCTACGAAAGATATCTGCTGATATATCGGTTTAGGATTGTAGTCTCCATATCGGTGTTGGCCCCTAAATCTCCACATCGGTCGGGTCCTATTCAAAACAGATGTTTATCTCGTCTGAAGGAGCTGTAGTGATTTAAAGTGTGGACTGTGTGGTGACTCTTTCCTTTCTGTCTCTCAGTCGTATGTTCTGTTGGCGATCGTCATCTTCCTGCCGTACATCTCGCGGTCTCTGAAGTGGTGTCGGAACAAAGCCATCGGTAAGAACCGGACTTCAGGTCCACGTTCGCTCTGGATGTGGATTCTTTTTTTTTTTTTTAACATAACCAAACGCTGCCCCCTGCAGGTCAGGTGGAGGAGACTCCGGACTCCATGATGTTTTACACCTACCTGCCCAACGAGCCGCTCAGCAAGGAGCGCGTGGAGGCGTTCAGCGACGGAGTTTACGCCATCGTAGCGACGCTGCTCATCCTGGACATCTGGTCAGTGTCACTGAGATTTAACAAACGCAGGATTTTAATACACGATGCATTGTTAGTTTAAGAAATAAAGGTCAGAGCGAGTTCACATGAGATGAACATGTTGGATTTAATGGATTTACAAAAAACGCTTAAAGGCTTTATATGTGATGTTTTGATCCAGCAGATGTCGCCCTTGAGCACCAGCATGAAACCAAAACAACTCGCGCTGCATTGTTGTGTTAGCATGCTAATGCTAGTGATCTTTATTCTGCTGGTATCTTCACACTGCATGTAAATTTACCTGAAATGAGCGTGATCTAGAAACACAGTTAAGCAGTGAGTACAGTATGTTATTCTTCTTTTCTCTAATCCCCCAATTAAACAACTTTTATACGTGAGGGGAGGAGTCAGCCGGCCGTCCTGGCGATGTAAACAAAGTGAAGATAGGACTCTGAAAACTCTGAAAACATCACAGACAGTGGGACTCGGGTGTTACACCCATTGTAGACAGTCATGACTCACAGAGTTATTTTCAGAGGAGATACTTGATTTATATATTTAAGTGTGTCAAATTTAGGGTTTAGTTCCTTTAAGGCCCTGCGTCCACAGCTCGGGAGTGTTTGCATGAAGTGTTTGTGCGCTGAGAAGAAAAGCGCTAAACGTCCGTCCTGTCTCCATGACAACAGTCGGTTGACCACGGCCGCTGTATGACCGACACTGCGCCGTTACTTTTTACTGCACGTTTTATATTTGAGATCGTTTATTTCCCGATGAGACAGATTTTCAACTTGAGCGCTCGGAGCGGCCGCACAGAAAGGGCGGAGCACTCGGAATAAAAGACGCTGGGCCGCCGCTTTCTGCGGAGAACGCGCTCCCCTCATTGAAAACAACAGAAAAAAGACGCTCTGTGGACCTAACTTTGAGTGAAGCGGCGTCGCTTTTTCACCCGAGGTCACATTTATAACGTCTCAAACTTCCTTTGAAACGATCGGAAACACAGAATGAACAATAACGTGGAGCTATGATTAAACCTTTGTGGATTCATTCTGATAAGCCGTGTTTTTTCAAATGTCTTCCTTCCTTGCAGCGAGGACAACGTTCCCGACCCGTCCGTGGTGCAGAAGCAGTTTGGCGGCTCTCTGGTGGCGGCCCTCCAGGTTTACGGTCCAGAGTTTCTCGCCTACTTCGGCTCCTTCGCCACCGTCGGCCTTCTCTGGTTCGTGCACCACTCGCTCTTCCTCCACGTTACCAAGACGACGCGCTTCATGGGCCTGCTGAACACCTTCTCGCTGGCGTTCGTCGGAGGCTTGCCTCTGGCCTACCAGCTGACGCACGAGTTCCCCAACAACTCCCGGAACGAGCTGGAAGCCATCCAGATCAGCTGTGTCATCATTTTCTTTGCAGGGATTTTCCAGCTGGCGATCTGGGTGGTGGCGCTCTATAACGAACAGGAAACACTGCACCCGTACGTACGCTACGGAGGGCGCGAGCACGTCTTCATGCTTGCTAAGCTAGGTCTGTACCCGTGTGTAGCCTTAGGGACGTTCTTCCTCACCTGTTTCCTGAGTAAATTTAGCGCTCCGATCTTCCACCTGATGGAGATCACCGTGCCTTTCGCTTTCCTCGCGCTCAGGCTGCTGGTGCGTGCCGGGTTAGCTCTGATACGGCTGTTTTTCTGTCCCGACGGGGCAGACCAGAGATCTGTTGTTATAGAGGACGATGACGAGACAAGAGTGCCATTTAACGCTTTAGTGACTTAGCTTTGAGAGGAGAGTGGAGAGAAAGTCAAGTTAGCACAGAGCAGGGAGCTGCAGCTAAAGGAAGAGATGGGCTCTCTTCTTTTAAGCTGGTTCAAACTCTGAGAAAGAATCAAATGGGATTAAAGAGACGTGTCTTATTTTGAAAGGGAAGGCAGGAAGTGGACCAGAGAAGTGAAGGACACCGACGGCCAAAAGTCCATCCTTTCATTTCATGTTTTCACTCGAATACTTTAAGCTGCTTCTTGTGATGAGCGAATAATCAACAATCGTCTTCTTTGTGTTCTGATTTATTTTACTTTCATTTCTTAAAGTCACGCGTTTGAAAAAGTGGCTTTAAACGGTGGACGACTAAACGCCGATTAAACTTCAAACCTTACTCTGACAGATTCAGAAGAAGCGCTAACAGGTACAGGTGTGATGACACTCCGTCCGACGGTTACGATTTTAATCCAGCCGTTTATTCATGTTTTGGTTTTTTTGACCTGGAGAAGTTGAACATGTTCACAAGGTTTCATCCATCTGAGCAGATCAGCATCAGAGAGTAAGTTACTACAAGTAACACATTGGACATGTGGCTGCAGGAGCTGGGGTTCGAACCCCCTGCCCAACTGAGCCACAGCCGCCCCTACCAGCTAATGTTAGCCTCTTTGTGATTATAACTCCAAATTCGGCCTCATTTCCTTCTGGGTTTTCATTTTTTAAAAAGCATTGTATTTCATCTGCTGATGAATCTAAAGCTGCACTCACAGTAGGAAATCTGTACGGTGCCTAAACACGCTTCACCCCGAAGTCCAGTTTGTGTGACGAGTGTGAGTGCTCCACGCTACACTTCCTTGGCCCTGGCTCGCTTTGAAGAGGTGTGCTTCTGCACGGGACAAAACATAGAGGGGCAATCATGCTTAAGCACGGTACGGGACAACCAGGCGGAGTGTGGGTGCGCCCTAACAGACCCAAATCTCTGCATATATCGTTCCTAAAACATCCCATTGTGTCTGAGCGAACGTGTCAAACTCTTTAAAGGGATACTTCACCATGAAACATGACTCTCTGATGACATTGGGTCATATATGTAGAAATGTGAAATACATTTTGAAGTTGGTGCCTTCTTGGCTGAGAAAAGGCAGAAAGTGTCTTTTTGGCTCATGTGGATGAAAGACACCAAATCCCAGAATGCACAGCACCGCAGGCCACTCCCACTAAGGTCAGGTTTACAGACATATTTACTTCAACACATACGGCCGTTTCCTCAACTGATTCTGAGATTTCTTCCAGAATTGATCTTGTAAATTCCTGAAAAAGAAAACAGACTCTGTGTCTGAGTCCAGAGACAAACAGTGAGAGCACCGACACTACCAGTCCACCCCAGCTCCTCATCCTCACCGCTGCCGACAGGCAGGCTGTCTCAGCTGCTGAGCTGGGGGCGGCCGGCAATATAGCCGTAAGACGGTTGCTGCCGGCAGGCTGGGTTTGTTTGTCGGCTGCTGCGGCCAGCGGTGGTCCCGGCGGCCACCAGCGGCAGCAGCCAAGACACAAGACCGGCCTGTCGGCAGCAACCGTCTCGCTGCTATATTTATATTTTTTGGCCATTATCAGCTTTCTCCATAGAGCCTGTTAGCATAGCTTCCAAGCAATATGGCGGACGTTAAGTTTCAATTCTGGGAGTGAGTTCCCACCCACTGATCTGTGATTGGTCTGTAGCTTCAGTGGTCGCAAATATGAGGAACTAGTGTTGTAGTTTCACCCCGCTAACCACAACAGTGACACAAAAATCGTGATTTTGCGTCACTGGAAGCTCCTTATCAGACTCAGAAATACAAAGATTTCACATCTCAGGGGAAAATGAGGGCGGGATGCACGACCATTCAAAAACACTACCAGGTTTCTGATGATACAAAGATTAATGCTAATGGGTGAAGTGTCCCTTTAAAATAAGGTCGTCCTGTCTGCAGACACGCTCTGAACAGTTCATCCACAAACCTTAAATTTGCACTATTTCAAATGTTATGATGAAGAATATTTTTTGTTTTGTGCACTGGAATGAGAAACTTTAACTGCACTGTATCTCAATGACCTGTTTCTCTTCACGGCTGCAGGACTATCAGGTGTACCACGTCTGTCCGGAAGGGGGCGCTGTTGTTTGTGTTTAAAAGGTCCTGCAGCTGTTTCCGTCCCCATCATTGAGGCAGTGAACTTTCATGTGTTTGTTTTTATACCGACTCTGAGGAAAGTCGGTCCCGAGATGCACTTTAACAGAAACCTGTCAGGTGTCTGAAGACGGAGAAGGCTCTGAATGTGGGATGAATCCAGAAATCAGCTGCTCTCAGATCCAAGCGTGGTCGTTATGTTTGTTTTTGTGTCACTCCTTCAGAACGGCCAACAAGGTTTCTCTTGATGCTCGTGATCGTTTGCAGGCTGCCGTTTTTCTTTCCCGCTGTGCAGTAATCGTTCTGTTTGAACCTGCTGAGCTGTTTGTGAATAAATCTGAAGTTCAACGTTAAGCCGAGTGATCCGTGTGTTTATTTAAGGGGACATATTCTGAGAAATCCACTTCTTCAGTGTTTCTGAACATATATCTGTGTAACCTGAGAGTCTACTGACCCACAACATGTGAAATAAACCATCCAGCCCTTTGTTTGTGGTCTGCATAAGTCTTACAACACAGAGAAAAATGCTCTGTATACAATGTGTTCTCCTTGTGATGTCACAGTGGGATTCTGGTTAAAAAAAAAAAAAAAAATCCCCTCCCCTCTCCACCCATGGACCCCCAGACTGGAGCAAAACTTTTGCGCTGGTCCTCCATTTTTATTCTCCCTACAGAGGAGTGATGTCTACGGGGACCACAGGGGACTGTTTGAAAAGGTGGAGGAGGGGGATCATATGTCCTCTATAAAGAAAGGACAGGAAACAAAGATGTGACACGTTGTAGAGAAAACCGACTTTATTCATCTCGGTTACAGTATCCCTAACCCCCCCCCACCCCGTCAACGTGGATCGCCCCGATATATTAACAGCCTCTTTATTATATATTATATATATATATATATTATCCACTCCAAAAGCTACACATCTCCATTAGAAAACATTTCAGCTCAAAGAAAAAAATCACACAAAATATTCACAAGAAGACAAATAAAAAAAAAAAACATCCTCAGTGCATCGTTATCTGACAGCTCCTAAACGTGATATAGAAATGATATATAAATATATATTAATGAATCCACACCAGCAGGTCAAATTTAAAGTAGGACTGTGACGCTGAGAGTCTGGAGCGTGCCGACAGAATCAAACATTTCTTGAAGCAGGAAGCGAAGTTTCTTCTTGATGCTTTTTATAAAATAAATAAATCTCTCTTTGATCTGTTTGTGTCTTCTGATGAAACTGGACTCAGTAATTAAGTTCATGAATCAGCAGATATGACACGTTCATAATCTTTTAGTTTCTCGAGTCGTTAATTCCTGATTTATAAATTCACTGATTTCAGCAAACTCAGAATGAACTGAAACATTTTAATTGAAGGAAAATATGCAGGTTTGTTTGTGTGACGAGGACGGACCCCAGAGGGGAAATGAGCCGGAGAATAAAATTAAAATTTATGTGACAGGGGCATGTCCAGAGGGACGGCACGGGCCCCCCTTTAAATCTTATTGGCCACCCCAGAATACTTAAAGGGTTAATATGAAGAATTTCACATTAAAATATCTAAATGAATTAAAAATGGTCTAAAAATATTTTATTAGTTAAGTTCTTACATTACCTAGAGTATTTCCAACAGTTATCAAAGCCATAGAAATCCGTTATTTTAGATTTTCAGACGAAACGACATTTTTACCGTTGCCGTGGAAACACTGGGTTTACGTCTAAAACCGCAGAAAGACGGTTTCTGATTAATTCTCTAATTATCAGAGCGTGTTTAATATTTCAGTCGCACACACTCCAGACTCTGGGTCATAATTCCACCGTCTGCGGTCCATGCTGATTTTGTGGCATTCAGTCATCTGAATGTGATCTTATTTTGAAAGGTCGAAGAAGAAAAACTCTGTAAAGCAGGTTTATACAGTACGATACAGCTGGTCCCAAAAAACATCCACCCAGCACCGCTTTCTTTGTAAAACGCCAAAATGCACAAAAACAAAAACCGGACGAAAAATTCAAACGCCGTCTGCGTCCGCCTGAAGGAAGAGAACAGAATTTTTAAAAAAAGGGACACACATTGCACAGGCCGCCAAAGTTAAAGTCCTCGCGTCGCTCCGCAGCTCAGATCCAAACTCTGCTCGAGTCGTCCGTCAGGAGAGCGGAGACGAGAGTTTGGATCGTGAGCGTCAGAGCGTCTCTTAAATAGAAAAAATCAGTGTTAATCAGACAGTTGCTTTGGTAAACAGTTCAGAGAATCAGCCTCGTCCTGACGCTTCCACTTCCTCACTCATCAACCATGAATAAACAGTCTACCCTCTCCCCCCCCTTCTTGCATAAGATCAAATATTGCTGATAAAACATCGCCAGAGGATCACAGTCTATAAACTCAGATCTCATCAGTGAAACTTCCTGCGGCACCAACTACATTCAAACTGATTAATGCAGACGAAGATTTAAACATCGAGTGCGAGGACGGAGGAAGGTCAACACGTTCGGTTTCTCCATCAGAGAGTCAGAGAAGAAGAAGAAGAACCTCACGCTCGGGTCCACTGAGTGCGGGCTATTAGCCTAGCTTAGCATAAAGAGTGAAAGCAGAGACCACATCTTGTCTTTCTTCGTCTTAAACCGGTGTCAGACCACACATCCTCACGTTGACACCAGACACACGGCGTAAATGTAAAACTAAATGTTTCAGTACTTTTTGACATCACGATAAGTAACGGACGCCATCCGTCTGCTAAGACAGGAGCTCTGGTGAGGCAGACTCCTCACCAGCGCCTATTGTTGCTATGGTTACTAATATTTACTTTAATTCAAAGAAATATCACCATGAAGATGATGTAAAGGAGTCGTGACGTCAGCAGCAGCTCGACACATGGAAACTGTTCCCTCCAAAAAGACGAGACAGATGAGCGTCTCCTCCCCATTTGCTGTTAAAGTGGATTTTGTAAGTCCCCCTTGTCTGGATTCTGATTGGCGGTGAGCTAGAAGTGACATTGAGGAGTGCTGCGCTCTTCTAAAAGTTAAACTGTTTTCAACTGTGAGCGCAGTAAACAGCTGACACAGAGGAAGGTTTAAATGCTGACCTTCATTGATTTGTTTGAAAACGGCGCCATCTGTGGACACGCGCCCTCGGGCGTTTCCATGTTTTGGTGAATTTACAGAATGTGCAGGAGTTTGCCTACGACTTCTTTCTTTGCTGCTGTCATATCGAAACAGGTTCTTTTGATTCAAGCTGCTACCATGGCGACTCGACCAGGTTGAACATTGTGTTTTCATTTCAGGCTAATCTCCTAAATCCATGTTTTCAGAATTTCCTGCTTTCAGTCTCTCCGCTGCTTATTCTCCGGCTCCACACTAAACACACCGCACGGCTTCGGCTCTTCTTATCTGAAACTCTCAGACCGTCTTCCAAACGTTGACCTCCTCCTCTCAACCTCGACGTTATGCTCACCAGCACCCCCTCGAAAAAGCAGCAACCTCATATCAAAGCTACGTCACAAGTTAAAAATCTAAAGTCTTCATGCTAAAGGCTACGGATGAGTTACTCCTCTTTTCTTTTTTTCTTTTTTTTTTGCATATCATTTCTGAAAGCTTCAAAGTGTTTTTCTTGCAGCAGGTCACGTAAGTAGTTTAGAGTATGTAATAGTATTTGTTCAGATAAATATTTCCAGTATATTATGTACACGACATGAAGTTGAAGTGTTGACGCTCTAGTTTCTGCGTTAGCATGCCTACAGTCAAAACTCTGGAAATTGTGTGACTCTCTTTTTTTTCTTTTTTTTTAGATTCAGACAGAAAACTAAAAGCTAAAAAAGTTCACACTGCTGAAGAAGAAACATGGCTTGGGTTAGCAGGACTTGCGTACATGCTACATGTTTTGTTACGCTGTGAGTTAGCTTACATAGAGTCTATAAACAGAGTCTACAGTATGCCGCCGCCGCCGCGTCTTCACTTCACTCACACAAAGAC